AATGATGAAGAAACACTTAGACATTGTGGTTTGTCCTGCAGTTTTGAGTGATGAGCTTACTTTATCAACACACCCCTTCATGTTGCCAGAGACATGCGTGTGCAGTGTAGCATACGTGTCGGCATACGTGTGTTTGCTTAAAGGCCGGTGAAAATCAGTTCAACATGAATCCTGGAAGAATAAGCATTCCCTTTGACAGGCCTAGAAACAAAAGTCAGGTGTTCAATGGGGAAATGACAAACAGGCTTCTCCTGTCTTAGCTGGTCGGGACTAGAAGCACATGGATGGATGAACAAAGGATGACAAAGCAGTTGTGTTTTTACACTGTTCCTATTATCTGGGCCTTAGGAAGTGCATGTTCACCAACACTGGACTTCATCCATGATGTTTGCCTTATGTAGAGTGAAGCCCTGTCTTAATATCCTCAGGTCAACATGCAGTATTTCGTTTGTGTGTTGAGTAAATTGTACGAAACAATTTGTTAATTTGCCTTCGAGAAAGCAATTGGAAGTTTGACTTGCTTTGCATTATCTGAGATACTACCAGAAGTGAAAACAAATAAAAACAACATTAGAAGTGCAATGGTGCACCCACATTGTGCCTTTTTAAAATACACTATCAGCTCCAAGATCACTGTGTTTGTCTGTGCCATTGTTTCCTTGTTGCTAAACCAAGTAAACTGTATTCAGAGTGTTATAAGGACACAGCTTATGGAGGTTGCAAACACAAAGAAGAAAAGAAAAGGAAAAGGAAGAATTTAAAATAAATTATTTAACAATAAAAAAGTAAACAATAAATAAAGTCCACAAAAGACATTCCTTAATGATTCAACATTTACAACCAAGGTAGAATGCCCATATCTCCACAATCTTTGGAGCTCAGTTCTGGGTTGGTTAAGACTGGAATGACACCGTTTACTGACTCTGTTTTTTATAGATTTTATTTCCTTAAAAGTGGTGACGCTTCAGTAAAAACCACTAGAAAGTACAGAAGTGGATACACCCTTATGAGCTATTGAGATAGGAGGAAGTACATTGAAGCGTGTTCATTTTCTAATGTCATACATTTTTTCTCACATCGAACACCATTTCCGCTACAAACCATTGTGTGATTTGGAGGAAGCTTTGACCATATTCTCGAGGTAATAAATGTCAAACAGTAAATATTTAAACTATTAATAGATTTTAGATGTGAGACATCCACAACATACTTGTTTGTTTAACAGCCGATGATTATTGTGGTCAATCCATGTCATTGTGTAAAATGATCTACTCTATTGTATTATTGAGCTTAAAGGTAGGGAAGGTATCACATAATTAACTCTATTGTAGTGATTTTGTGTGTGTGTGTTGTGTTTTTTGTTATTTTAAATCTGCACAGTTTTTGACTGCTGCACTGGCAAAGATTCTACTGGGACGGTTTTGATGAATAATAAAAACCTGTGTGGAACAAATCAACCAAAAAAAGAAGCAAAGCAGAAACATTTATGGAAGTAAATAATATGACTATGGTGGCCTCGTACAGCATGTTGGAGTACACCCATCCATTCTGGCACCCTGTTGTCTCATTTAGTCCGTAATCCCTGAGGTAGTATACACATTTTCTTTTCTTTTTTGCCATCACATCAAATTTGAAACCATAATTTTAAGCATTTCTAGTTTGGTAGAAACGTGGTCACGATTCTCATGTTATGTCACGTTTTTAGTTTTGTATGTCTAGGTTGGGGTTTATTTTGCTGTTCGGTTCTCCCTGTCTCCCTTGTGTATTGTCTGGTCCCTCTCTCTGTGTTTTTCCTCCCTGTCGTTAGTTTCCCTGGTGTGTCTAATTGTCTGATTGTGTTCACCTGTTGCCCTTGTGTTTCTCCTCCCCTGCCCGGCTGTTTGTCGTCTCGTGATTACCCCTCCCTGTATTTAGTCTTGTCTCTTCCTGTGTTCAGTGTTGGTTCGTCTTTTGTTGGTTCACCGGGGAGTGTTCTGTTTTTTCCGAGTTACATTATTCTCCTTGAAATAAAGGCAATTTCAGTGTTATCTGCATTTGGGTCCTGCTTGCTTCACTCACCGTAACAGAACGAACTGACCAAGGATGGGCCCAGCAGATCCATTTGAGCAGGAATGATTGGATTTTTCCTTTTCTTTGGCTTACTGCTCTGATCGGTGGAGGGGTGCGTCCGGGGTTCAGCAGCGAGAGGCTGCTCTGGCAGAGGCACGCCAGATGGCTACGGAGAAACCAGGCTTGGTGAAATTCTTACCTGGCTGGATTTTCGAATTTCCTCACGGTGTGTGATTCCCGGCCTGCTAGCCCCAGGCATGCTAGCTCCCTGCCTCCCAATTCCCAACCTGATACCATACGCCTCGGTGTGTTCCATCTGGAGTCAACCATTGCTTCTGCCCCAGTTCCTGCTCCTGTCCAGGAGCTGTTCTCTGGAACTCGTCTGGCTTTAGGAGGTCCACGGAGCCTCCAGACGGCTCCTAAGAGAAGGAGTCGCAAGTCCAGGCTAGCAGCCCGAGCCCCAAGAGCCATGGTTCCAGCCCCGGTTCTGGTCCCAGCAGCCATGGTTCCAGCCCCAGTTCTGGCTCCAGCAGCCACTGTTCCGGCCCCAGTTCTGGCCCCATCATGGTTGCAGCCCCGGTTCAGCCCCGGTCCTTCTCCAGTCCCTCCTCTAGTCACTTCCCTAGTCCCTTCTCTAGTCCCTCCTCTAGTCCCTTCCCAAGTCCCTTCTCTAGTCCATTCTCTAGTCCCTTCTCAAGTCCCTTCACTAGTCCCTTCTCTAGTCCCTACTCAATTCCCTTCACTAGTCCCTTCTCTAGTCTCTACTCAATTCCCTTCTCAAGTCCCTTCTCTAGTCCCTTCTCAAGTCCATTCTCCAGTCCCTCCTCTAGTCACTTCCCTAGTCCCTTCTCTAGTCCCCTTTCTAGTCCCCTCTCCAGTCCCTCCTCTGGTCCCTTCCCTAGTCCCTTCTCTAGTCCCTTCTCTAGTCCCTCCTCTAGTCCCTTCCCATGTCCCTTCTCTAGTCCCTTCTCTAATCCCTTCTCTAGTCCCATTTCGAGTCCCCTCTCTAGTCCCAACTCAAGTCCCTCCTCTAGTCCCTTCTCAAGTCCCATGTCAAGTCCCTTCTCGAGTCCCCTCTCCAGTTTCCTCTCCAGTTTCCTCTCGAGTCCCCTCTCCAGTTTCCTCTCAAGTCCCCTCTCCAGTTCCCTCTCAAGTCCCCTTTCGAGTTCTCAAGTCCCCTCTCGAGTTCCCTCTCGAGTCCCCTCTCAAGTCACCTCTCGAGTCCCCTTTCTAGTCACCTCTCGAGTTCCCTCTCAAGTTCCCTCTCTCGAGTCCCCTCTCTCGAGTCCCATCTCGAGTCCCCTCTCCAGTCCCCTCTCCAGTCCCTACTCAAGTCCCTACTCAAGTCCCTACTGAAGTCCCGTTGGGGTCTCGCAGACTACTCTTCTGCCGGGGGTCCTGCCAACTCCATGTCCTGTCCCGTTGGGGGTCCCGCCGACTACTCTTCTGCCGGGGGTCCTGCCAACCCTATGTCCTGTGCCGTTGGAGGCCCTGCCGACTACTCTTCCGCTGGGGGTCCTGCCAACTCCATGTCCTGTCCCGTTGGGGGTCCCGCCGACTACACTTCTGCCGGGGGTTCTGCCAACCCTATGTCCTGTCCCGTTGGGGGTCCCGCCGCCTACTTTTCTGCCGGGGGTCCTGCCAACCCTGTGTCCTGTGCCGTTTGAGGTTCCGCTGGGGGTCCTGCCAGCTCCATGTCTTGTCCCATTGGGGGTCCCACCGACTACTCTTGCGCTGGGGGTCCTGCCAACTCCATGTCCTGTCCCGTTGGGGGTCCCGCGACTACTCTTCTGCCGGGGGTCCTGCCAACCCTATGTCCTGTCCCGTTGGGGGTCCCGCCGACTACTCTTCTGCCGGGGGTCCTGCCATCTCCATGTCCTGTCCTGTTGGGGGTCCCGCCGACTACTCTTCTGCCGGGGGTCCTGCCAACCCTATGTCCTGTTCCGTTGGAGGTCCCGCCGCCACCTGTCTTGCCGGGGGTCCTGCCAACTCCTGGTCCTCTTCCGTGGGGAATCCTGCCGAAGCCTGTCCCACCGGCTCCGGTTCCTGTTCGGCCGACACCGGGTCCTGCCCGGCCTCCGGAGCTGTCTGTTCTTCACCCTCGAGAGCCTTGGTCTTCACCCTCGAGCCCGGCCCCCTGATTGCCGCGGTCTTCGCCCTCGGGCCCGGCCCCCTGTCTCTTCCTGCCGCGGTCCTCGCCCTCGGGCCCGGCCCCCTGACTCTTCCTGCCGCTGCCTTCGCCCTCATGCTTGGCCCCCTGAATTCGCCCGCTGTGGCCTTCACCCCACAATGGACTCTGCCTTGCCCCCGGGCGGTCCGCCCGAGTCCCCCTTCTTGGCTTCTGCCTTGCCCCCGGGCCGTCCGCCCGAGATCCCTTCCGGGCCCTCCGCTGTGCTCCTGGGTTGTCAGCCCAAAACCCGTCCTCCAGACCCCCTCCACCTACCCTGGTGGCCCTAGTTTTGATACATGATGACATAATGACTACGTTTTTACATTAGAAATGTTAGGTTATTTCCTTCTGACGTTGTCAGTTGTCCTAGATGTTTTATCTTCATACCAACCAGTTTGCTCATACATTTCCTGACATGGCTTGAAATACAAACACTGCTATTTTTGACCTGCACCATATTTTCCACTTTGTTACACAATACCAATAAATTGCATCTAAAACCTCTTCAAGATCTCCTTGAGCAATTTCCCATGTGCTTGCCAGGGTGTGTCATGTTCCAGTGTAAGCCAACCACTCCCTTATGAGGCATACTGTGTGTAGTCATGATCTTTTTGATAATACTCACTTTTGACACGCTAACAGACCAGCCAGATCAGCCAGCAAAGAGCATTCAAGGAAACAAAAGCCAAAGTCACATTAGAAGCCGTTACCATTACCATTCTGGTTGTAGAGAGGGAGGTTGGTGTTTTAAAACAAGACATATATGTCCACAGAGGGCAGTCACACAGAAACAAGCTTAGTTTGTGTCTGGAAAGATGGGGGCGTTATAAAAAAAGGTTCCTCAGAACATTCTTGGAAGAACAAGGTAAGGCTAGATTGTATGAAAGATAATTGGTATTGTCAAAGCAACGAAGCCCTCAGTGTAACACTTTAAAGAGTAGGGTAGAGGACTTTTTAAAGGAAGCAGAGGGGGAAAAAAACAAGTTAAGGAATGCTACAGATAACATTGTGAAACGATAATGTTCATGGTCGATGTCAAATAAATATTAGCATAGGAATAGGCTACTGTGTTAGTAGACAGTTTTTCCCCAAAAATGTAGGCTACTTTTAAATTATTATTCAACAGAGATGGTCATTGCAAAACAGCTTTATGCACCATGTCTAAATACAGACCAACTTTGTTAGGCCTACATTTTCATTGCTCATTCTATGCCCATTACAATTAAGTGTACATTTTTATTCATTCGTCAATCACACATTCAAGGGCAGCCTCAAATGCCAAGCAATGGGGTTAACCGCATCTCCTATCTAAGGTAAAGAGCTGTCCTTTCCACGCTTAGAGTTGCTTCAAGGATTTTTATGTGGTCCTCAAAGTATAAAAATCTGTCTTATGACAAATATAAAAGTTTATATTTTAAATGATGTCTTTATGGTTCACTTAGTTTACCATAGCAGTTCAAATATACAAAACCATGCAGATTATTTTATATGTTTTTTTTAGCATGTGACTAGTGGTGGAAACAAACAAAATGCATCAACTCAAGAACTGTACAGCACACTGGTTCTTACTCTTTCAGGCTTATGACCACATACACTGAACAAAAATATAACCGCAACACTTTTGTTTTTGCTCCCATTTTTCATGAGATGAACTGAAAGATCTAAAGAATTTTCTACATACACAAAATAACCATTTCTCTCAAATATTGTTCACAAATCTGAAAAAATCTGTGATAGTGAGCACTTCTCCTTTGCCGAGATAATCCATCCCACCTCACAGGTGTGGCATATCAAGATGCTGATTAGACAGCATGATTATTGCACAGGTGTGCCTTAGGCTGGCCACAATAAAAGGCCACTCTGAAACGTGCATTTTTGCTTTATTGGGGGGGTCCGAAAACCAGTCAGTATCTGGTGTGAGGGTTAGGATTAGGATTAGGGTTAGGGTTAGGGTTAGGGTAATGTTGTGAATCGAGTGGCCCATGGTGGTGGTGGGGTTATGGTATGGGCAGGCGTATGTTATGGACGACGAACGCAGGCCACTCGATTTACAACATTACCCTAACCCTAATCCTAACCCTCACACCAGATACTGACTGGTTCTCGGACCCCCCCAGACCCCCCCCAATAAAGCAAAAATGCACATTTCAGAGTGGTCTTTTATTGTGGCCAGCCTAAGGCACACCTGTGCAATAATCATGCTGTCTAATCAGCATCTTGATATGCCACACCTGTGAGGTGGGATGGATTATCTCGGCAAAGGAGAAGTGCTCACTATCACAGATTTTTTCAGATTTGTGAACAATATTTGAGAGAAATGGTTATTTTGTCTATATAGAAAATGTTTTACTAGTGACTTGTTTTATATTTGCGTTGTGAAAACAAAAAAACGAGGTAAAAGTACTCTACTTG